TTTAAGCATCGAATTAACAGAATAATAGACATATAATGATTTAGTGCTGAATTTTCATTTCTAAATAGGGTTTTTGTTAGTGCTGAATTAACAGACATACAATGATTTAATGCTGGTTTTTGTTATTGTAAGTTGACAAATTAAATTAAATTAGACTGAATTTTATGTCCGGAAGATTAATTGTTTCATCTCTTTTAAATGTAGATGGAGAGATCCCAATCAAAATGAACACCCGCTTATTATCAAAACACGGCACAATCACTTAGTGAAGTGGATTTAGAAGAATTTTATGCTACTTTGTCTGGTTGGGTTTACATTGTTTTGTGTCTATAAAGAATCAAAACAATTCTTTCTTATATCCAAGTATGATTAAATAGAGTTACAGAAATTTTGTTTCTTATATCCAGTTTAAATTGGAATTATTTAAGTGTTTTAGCTAATAACCCAAAGAATTCATCATAAAGTTTTGAAAACTATATAAGACTCATGTTTACAGTACAGTTGTTGGTTGGATGAATATGATACTAACATAGGGAGAACTTGGTCGTTAACAAATCCTCCCTAGAGCCAAACAAAATCTATAATCACTTAACAAACCTATATACAAGTATAGAGGTAAGTCAAGGGTCGAACCACTAGGAACGGTTATGCTTAAGTGTTTCCAATGTGCGCCTAAGCTAGATCGAAGTCAAGGGTGAAGAATAGAGTACCTAATATTAATCAACTACCTAAACAAAGAAGCAAACAAATGAAACACTAGAGAATGAGGATCAATAAGTAATCATGACAATTGCAACAACTTGGGGAGGTTAAGCTAATCAATGGTTGTGAAAACTAATGATAAGAGCTATCAACTAGAATCAAAGAGCTATCTCCGAATCGTTAAGCTAGGTTTCCTCTATGAATAACAAACTAAGAGAATCACAATCCAAACCAATCAACAATTGCAAATCCTAAATCAAGTGGTCATGTCATTAGGAATCACAATACAATCTAGCATAGTTCTCAAGGCCTAATCAAACTACACACATGCAAACTTACATTAATAACTTTAATCTCAACAATCAATCAACATAATTCCCAAATCCATCACAAACAATCACTCATACAAGTTTCAGCCAAACCCTAGCAAAACAACTACTCAAGAATCATCATCTAATCAACAAGCAAGTAAATGAAATCAAGGATCAACAAATATGAAGAACAATGAACTACACTAATCAAGATTCAATCATCAAAACCAAATCAAATAAACATGAAATTAAACAAAGCAATAAGATGAGATAGAGTTAGAAATGCTCATTGTTAAATGAGAAGATCTTCAATACAATTGTCACCCATGCATCATCAATCTCTCAAATCACCATTGAAATCTCTCACCTTCTCTCTCTAAATCTACTCCTAAAACTAACCCTTAAACTAGAGAGAGCTATGAGGAAAATAATGTCTCAAAAACCTATACAAAAATCGTTTAAAAAAGTATTTATAAGAAAAGAGGGAAAAATGCAGTCGAAACAATCCGGAAAATAGGGAGACATGCCCGCGCTGAGCTGGGTGGTGTGCCCTCCGGGTTTCTTCGAGTTCTTCGTAGCTTCGTGCACTTGCAAATGGTTCCTCGTGTGCGCTTGCAATATAATGTCTTCATGATAGTTACTAAGCATGGAAGATTCAAATGGACTTGACGGTTGGTTCAACACCATGGTTTCATGAGAGCACAGCTTGAGAGCGCAAGAGCTAGAACTTGAAGCATGCCACTTTCTTAATTCTTGAGCTTTCCCAATGCTATAAGCTTGCTCCAAAGGCATCTTCCAAATTAGTAAGCCACCAATATCAAGACCCGAACCTCATACAATACCTACAACCATGAATAGAGAACAAAAGAAGGAGAAACACTAGAAAATCCACAAAACACAAAATAAGAGAGAATAGGAAACTAAAAAAGAAATGAATAAAACTAAGCATTTATTAAGAAAGAAAGCTATAAAAAGAAGGTAAAAACAACCTAAAAACTCATCAAATGAAATGGCACTCATCAGATACACAAATTAATCTTATGCATGGAGCATCATACAAAAACGTTTGGTGATGTTCAATTGCTTTTGTTTTGGGTAGTGTTGGCTTTGATTTTGTACCCAAAATTGACATGAGTCCACTTGCTGTAATGTTATTGATGCCTTGATGTGTTATTTCTACTTGATGCTTGTGCTGTTGTGCATGATAAACTTTCTTAAGGCACTTAGTAGTTTATCTGCTTCCACATAAAATTTTTGAGTCTGCTTGGCTTAATTATTCTTATGGTATTTGCCAAATACCTTTGGCCTTCTTTCAATATAGCTTCATTACCTCTGCATTTGTTTCATATATATAACATTAAGTATCAAGATGGTTCAAGCCCTTATTTGTTCATAAGATTGGTTAAGAGCAAAGGGATTGCCAATTATTGATGTGGAGGAAACTTTGAAAGAGTTAGAGGAATTCTAAAAAGGTAGTTATGTTATTTGGCACTTTTACTTATTTTTTTTTTATTATTACTTATTGATTATTAATACAATCTATTTTTCGTTTGATTTAGATGTGCAATGTGGCGATGTAGACAATGAAGTTATTTTTGTAGACTTGTGGTTTGATTCGTTTGACACGTGTTATTGAAGGGAGATAAGGGATTAAGCATACAATCTAATATAATCTATTTTAGACTTTATGTAACTTGTCAAATATGTTTTATACTATGTTTTGATGTATATAATAAGTAGATAACTATGTTTTGGACTTAAAAAAAAAGGTCAATAGTTTGTCCAAAAGAAGGTCCTAAAACAAGTTCAAAACAGGTCCAAAATAGGCCTTCATAAAGAAAGAAAATCAAACCGGTCTAAATAGGTAAAAACCTAAACCGGACCGGCAGATTCAGGTCCATTACCGGTCCGCGTAAACCGGTCCAAACCGGTTCAGGTCTAATATGGTTCAGGTCCAGTCCGGTCCGATTTTGGACCGGTGTTCACCCCTAATGTGAGTCTTCCAACCTAGAAAGGTGATTCGCCACAATATTCTCGGCACCCTTCTTATCCTTGATCTCAATGTTAAATGTTTGGATCTCTAACACCTAACAGATAAGTCTTGGCTTCGATTCCTTCTTGGCCATGAGATACTTAAGAGCCGCATGATCCATAAACACAATGGTCTTAGAACTAATCAAGTAAATCCGAAATTTTTGAAAGGCATGAACATTTGCCAAGAACTCTTTTTCCGTTGTGGTGTAGTTGCGTTGAGCACCATTCAACGACTTTGACATATAATAGATGATAGGAAGTTTCTTGTCAACCCGTTGACCCAATACACCCCCAATAGTCGTGTCACTAGCATCACACATGAGCTCAAAGGGGAGATCCCATCTTGGGGCTTGATCAATAGGGGTCGAGACCAAGACACTCTTCAATCTAATACAAGCATCCAAACACTTCTCATCAAATACAAACTCGACATCCTTTTGGAGGAGATCATTCAAAGGCTTGGCTATGAGAGAAAAATCTTTAATGAACCGTCTATAAAAACCCGCATGACAAAGGAAAGAACGAACACTCTTCACATTGGCCGGAGGTGGTAACTTTTCAATCGCCTCAATCTTTGCTTTGTCCACCTCAATCTACTTATGCGAGATCTTATGACCAAGGACTATTCCTTCCTCAACTATGAAATGGCACTTCTCCCAATTCAATACCAAGTTCACCTTTTCACACCTAGCCAAACATCTACCATGATTTGCAAGACAATTTTCAAAGGAAGTACCATCCATCGAGAAATCATCCATAAAGACCTCCATCTCTTCTTCCATATCTCCAAAAGTTCTCATTATGCAACGTTGGAAGGTGGCGGGAGCATTGCAAAGCCCAAAAGGCATCCTCCTATAAGCAAAAGTACCATATGGGCAAGTAAAAGTTGTTTTCTCTTGGTTATCCCGGTGTATGGGAATTTGAAAGAACCCGGAGTTATCGTCAAGAAAGCAATAGTACTTATGCCTAGTTAATTTCTTAAGCATTTGGTCAACAAAGGGAAGGGGAAAGTGGTCCTTCTTGGTGGATGTGTTTAGACGTCTATAGTGTATGCATATCCTCCAACATGTGACCGTTCTCGTAGGAATGAGTTCACCTTTCTCATTCTCTATGACGGTCATACCTCCCTTCTTTGGCACAACGTGCACCGGAGAATCCAACCTTGAGCTTGAAATGGGAAAGATGATGCCCGCATCAAGGAGCTTGGTGATTTCTTTTTTCACCACCTCCCCCATTTGAGGGTGTAGCTTTCGTTGCCTTTCGATGCACGGTGAGGCACAATCCTCAAGAGTAATGTGGTGCATGCATAAGGCGGGGCTAATACCTTTAAGGTCGTCAATGGTATAGCCTAGTTCACCTTTGTGATTTCTTAACACACCACATAACTCTTAAGCTTGATCTCAATCAAGGAGGAGCTCTCAATCACGAGAAAAGTCGAGTTGGGGCCAAAAAACTCGTACCTAAGGTGTGATGGTAGAGGTTTAAGTTCTAGCATCGGAACACCTTTACCTTCTTTTGTCGTGGCCACTTGCAATGCATCTTGGCTTGTGATTCCCATGCAAATATGCTCAGCGAGTTCCTCTATGCTTCCATCAAGCATGTCTTCATACAATGCCATCTCCTTGCTTGGAACACCAATCTTTTCCTTATTTAACAAGACATTCTCAAGGGCATCGTTATAAGTGAGCAAGTTCTCATGCATCGAAGTCACCACAGGATCTAGAGAATTAATCTTCATGCAATTTTCCAAAGATGAACATGGATATTTCATGCTTTCATTCAAATCAAATTCAATGACCCCATCTCCTACTTTAAGTGTTATCTTAGCACTCTTCACATCAATTAAGGCACCCGAAGTAGCAAGGAAAGGTTTACCAAGAATAATTGGAATTTTAGCATCTTCATCCATGTCAAGAACCACGAAACCTATCGGAATTACAAACTTTCCTACCCTTAAAGGAACATCTCCACCTTACCCTTTGGAAACTTAATTGAACGATCAACCAATTGTAAGGTAATGTTGGTAGGTAAAAGTTCCCCTATCTCAAGTCTTTGATAAACCGAATATGGCATAAGGCTAACATTAGCTCCTAAATCACACAAGACTTTATCAATTTGCATCTTACGAATGACACAAGGGATAGAAAAGTTCCCCGGATCTTTCAAATTAGGTGGCATTTTATTCATGATAATTGCACTACAATTCTCGGTGAGGTTCACCGTTCCAACCACATCACAAGTCCTTCTCCCGCTCAAAATGTTCTTGAGAAACCCAGCATAGTTTGGCATTTGGTGAATAACATCGGTGAAGGGAAGGGAAAGATGAAGTTGCTTAAGCATCTTAATGAATTTCCCAAATTGCTCATCCATTTTGTGCCTTAAAAACTTTTGAGGGTAGGGAAGTTTAGGTTACACAACTTCTTTCTCATCCTTCATCTCACAAGGTTTCTCAACCACTATCTCACTCAAGGGTGCACCATCTCCCTCATCTTCAATCAAAAAATCCTTGGAGCTTTTTAGGCATCTACAAGTCGTCTGTAGCCACCTTTGTTCTCTTTGGAAGGTATAAAGCTTGTTAATTTATTCGGCTCTTGCTTATTGACTTCAACAATCTAACTTTGTAATAATTGCTGCAAGTATTGCCGAAGAGATGAATATGCGAGTACCTGGCCAGTCGTTTACTGGCGCTGACCGAAAAGCCATTAGGGAGGCCATGAAGTGGGCCATCCCTAAGGAGCAGCGGGTGAAGTTCTGCGGAATCGATGAGGGCTTCATTTGTATTATGCTGAACTGCAGTGCTGAGGTAGCTATACTTTATCTAAACTTTGGTACTTGGTTTATTTTCATATTTGCTTCTGCAAAATTGTTTATGTTTGAATACAACTTTTCCTTAGACTCACCGCCTTTATGGACAGGCGCTCTAAGGAGCAGAAAAAGATAAAGGCGGTCTGGGATGAAATAGAGAAATTCCAAGATGAAAATATAGGGATGCTGGCCCTCCAGGAGATCTGGCACAAGGCCGCCCTCAATACGCTTGGCGAGAAATCGGCCCGAAAAAATGAGGACATCATGAAAATGGGCGATGCCCTTAAGTTTGAGAGGCTTGCTCGTGAGGTTCTTCAGACGGAGAGGAACGAGGTGGTCACCAATGCTTCTTAGTGGAAGGAGGGTTTTGAAGCCTCCGAGAAGTTAAAGAACGAGCTGGAATCTGGCCGTTAGGCTCTTCAGGCGGCTCTAAACAAAGTGAAATCCCTTAAACATGAGGTTGAGCGTCTAAACAAGTCCATTGCGGACTTGTCTGAGCAGCTCAAAGCGCCAAAAGAGATCAACCCTTAGGAGGTGATCCGGATCGAACAGGCTGCTGAGGAAAGGCTGAAGAGTCAGTTTGAACAGGCGTTCACCATAATGTTTGATGTTGGTGAGGTGGCATATTACCTATAGACACCTGATTGTGTCTCCAAAAAAACCAAACCCAATGATGAGTACCTTTCACGTCTTTGATTGACAAGTTATGTAAAGAGTTAAAGAGTCACGTGAAGTTTCCTTAAGCCTTGACCATACCCCTAACCTTTCCCAAAACGTTTTAATCCAAAATCATTCATTTCGTGTCTTTAAACTCAAAATCATTCATTTTGTGTCCAAACCATAAAAACGTCCGAACCAGATTATTTTCCATAATCTCAGTCCAATTATTGTTTAGTTTAATGGGGCTTGAAAAAAGCTTTCTAACGATATATGGAGAAAATACTAAACCGAGGCCAAACCAAGCCTAGGTCCAACTTAGCTATGACCTAATGACTATATGGGGTCCAAATATCTTATTTAGGCCCTATATGATCATGTTCCCAATCCTAAATCAGTTAGGAATTTCCAGAGTCCCCTACAAGGTTCTAATTTATCCATTCCGAAAAGATAAAGATCAAAGAAGTTCGAGATTGAATAAAACTTCTCGTAAAATAATACTTGTTCTATCGGACACGAAGACATCCAGATATCTTCTGCAAATACAATTCCATTATAAATCAAACTCCGTACGACTTTACTATCCTTTAAAACCAGGGCGCAACGCCAGGACCAACGCATTGCGACAGTCCTGACGCGGTGCATCAGACCCAGCGCGGCATGTCAAAAGTCTATTTTATTTGGAACTTCTAATCTTTTCTGATCGTCGAGACTCTTTTTTTCCCTTATAAATAAAGGTCGTTTTCCCAGTTTTCAAATCAGCTTAAACCCGGATAATCTTGAGCAACATTCATCAACAATAGCCACCGATAAATCCCAAATCCCCTACCATCAATCATCTTTCTTAAACACCCACATTCTTAGCCTTAGCCTAAACACAATCCTTGATACTCCCCAAAACAAGCACAATACTTCCTTTGCGTGATTCGAATACTCCAAGCCATACTCGACGTTGCCTTCGACCTCGACGTGAAAGGTTGATAGATCTGAGGGTGTGGTCAGAAATCTGTATTTCAATTTATATTTAATTATTTACTTTATTGATTTGACTTTCTTGAAGCTTACTAACGTGTGTATTGTTTTAATAGCAAGAAGGTTGAGGCATTAAAGTAAGTAATTTAATTACCCTTTTTACTATTCTTTGATTTTGGAGTAGAAATCATGTTTAGGAAGTTATTTTAATTTCTAGTATCATGTTTAGGAAGTTATTTTTATTTCTAGTATCATGTTTAGGAAGTTATTTTTATTTCTAGTATCATGTTTAGGATAACGCTTTAATTTTGTTTTAACATTCTAGGAGTTGTTGTAAATCCATTTAGTATCATGCCTAGGATCTTACTATTAACGATGTTTTGATGATGTTCTTATGATTATGATTGATATACTAATCATATGTTGCTTGATTATGTATGATTTATTGCTATTGCTTGATCACGCCTCTTTTGCAGGTTTAAAGGGAGTTTGTACTTGAAATCACGCCTAATAAGATAATTAATAATTTGACTTAGGTAAATATGATTTTAATTCAAGTGACCACCAATATTAGATTTAATTGTGCATTAATAATCAACCAACGTTAGATTACACAGGTTTAGGATTAATTTGATGTATGTATGTTGATTGAAAAGCACGCATTAATATAAAAAGAATCACGTAGAGGCCTATTTTTTGGGGTGGTTTTGACTTCTCTTAGGTCAAATTTGTACCATCATCCCCGAACATCCAGTCATGGTGTTGGACCACTATGGAGTTAGCAATCTCTGTGATTGGGAATGGGGTGTAACCTTCACACCCGTGAACGGTTTACAAGTTCCTAAAACTTGTTGGCGACTCTTTTTCTCTAGCTTCTTTTCCTTGGAGTGCCGCCATGCTTAAAAACATGACCTACATGTAGGGCCCAAAAGAGGTTGGAAAAATTCCCTATAATTTTTGGCGACTCCGCTGGGGAGGATTTCTAAATTAATTCCTAAATTCGTTTAGTAATTAATTATAATGAGTGGATGAGACTTGAAAGATTCTTGATATTGATGTGTGTAATTTTGATTAACATTGTGGCACAAGCATTAAAAGGTACGCATCGGAAAGACCAACTGTAATACGTCAAAACATAGGAAATACACGTAGGAAAGGCCGAAAATATTTTTCACTATTAAAATTGGAAAGACGCTGTGAAGAATTGGAAAAAACATCGAAAACCGAAATTATTGCAAAGCGTCAGACCTGTCGCGCGATGACAATGACCAACGCCGGACGACAGTCCTGTCGCCGGACATTAGTCCCCGCCGTTCAGCGACAATGTCTGATGATTTGGCGTCAGCCTATTGTCTTCCTGTTTTGCTCGATTCTAGCACAGCCTCGATGATTTTGCTTTTTTATTAAGTTTTTTCGACCTTTCTGAACCCATATGTGTTTTACATATGGTTTTAGCCCTTGGGAATTCACGCTCCATTTACCCTGAAGATGCTTCGTGCAATAATGGGTGCATCCGAGTTTGTTGAATTCACCAAACCATGGAGTTAGGTCTAACTCATGGAGTCCCATCCAACGCGCCAACCCTTCTAAGGTAAGGCTTCCATGCGATGCATCAGGACTCTTAACAATGCACCCTCTTGGACACCATAATTGTTGACCATAGAGAACTAGAGCCATGATTAGGTGGAAAACTCATTGCATCATATTTTGACTACTTGTTCATACCTTGTTTGTGATTAAACTAACCCTTGTGTTGACTTTTTTTATTATACATAAGTTTAAACATACTAACTAAGGACTAAAAGGACTTTGCTTAAGTAATTTGGTTGATTAACATGAACCTAACGAATGAATATGCTCTACCTAGAAGACTATAGGCTTACACCTTTTGAAAGAATGACTGAAAAATCGGTTGCGGTGACGTTCCAGTTCTGGCGCGCCACTTTGATATGTGGTGCAGAATGTTGGTAACAAGTGCATCACGACAGTCTTGTACTTCAATGTTGGGATCAACGCTTCACGATAGTTCCAGCCTTCTATGATGGTTCAGTCGTTTCTTTCCGAGTCTTTGCATTGAGTCCCACTGTTACGATTAACCGATTTAATGCTCGTAATTGGTCTTTCCCTGGTCTTGTTTGAGTTTAACCACATGTCTAGTCCTATGGTCATCACATGAGTCTTGTAAATATCACTTTCACTCACGAGTCTTTGCACACACTTTGTACATGTCTTTCCTTGTACACCAAGACCATGCTTAGTGTCTTGCATGCGTTGTTTTTGGTCATTTTTTAGGGGGGTAAGTCGGATAGTATCCTCCCAACATAAACTATATGTCTTGAAAATCTTGTCTTTTCTACTTGATTCCCCTAATATATACACCCATTTTTTTTTCTTTTTCAAACCCATAAAGCACGAGTCAATTAGAATCAAGTAATTAAAAGAGTCGTTGGTTCATTTTTTACAGCATTTGGTCGAGGAAAGAAGGGCGCTTGGTTCAAGATAACTCCTACGTACAAGAGATCTTCTTCCAGAACACGGTTTGAAGGAGGAAAAAATCGATGGCGGCTAGTAAGGAAGATGTAACTCAAAAATACCATGGACGGTCTTACCGAGCTTGTCAAAGGACTCACCACTCAAATGGAGAAAGTTAAAGACTCTGATAAGTACGTTCTTCCCGAGACAATCAAATGCGTCCAAGAGGGCTTGAGTCTAGTCTCCATCGACTATAAGTACCTCGACATAAGCTCTAAGGGACTCTCATTAGACAAAGATCTTCTTCCGCACAAGTTCTCAGCCAATGACATCCCTAAGTTCAAAGCTACTGATAATCCCTACTTTCACTTAAAAGCTTTTGAAACAATCATGGAGATCAAGGGGATTGATAAGAAAATATTCCCCTCACTTTTCTTCCTTTCCTTGGAACCATTATGCCAACAATGGTACTTCTCCATGGACTCTGAGAAAATGGCTACCTGGGATGGTATCACGAACACTTTCATTGACAGGTACAAATGTAATGTCCAAATAGAGACTGACTATAGAGAGCTCGAAATCCTTAAGCAAAAGGAGAATGAAGGCTAAACTGCATTTTACAATAGGTGGAAGGAAACTTCTGCCAAGATGATCGATGTACCAAATGAAAAGGAGTCCGTGTGAATATTCATCAGGAATCTCCAAGAAAATTACAAAAAGCTTTCAAAGCCGTTTATAACATATGCATTGAAATAGAAGATGACCTTATGAAATCGAAAGCTGCTAACAATAGTAACAACAGTCGCTGGAAAGGAAAGAAAAACTACAACCCTTCCTCTTCCAAACTACCCACTCTAGTAACAATGTTAGCACCTATGATCTTAACGATGTCTAAGCTATGGACAATCAAGGACCAAGAAGGCAACAAAGGAAAGAGTTACCCCTATTGGGATGAACTACGACATTGCTTTTGATTGTCTCCATGCCAAGGGATTAATTACTCCCATTGGACCAATTCAAGGTCTAGCGCCTGAAAGAAGTTCACCTAGCAGGAATCACAATGCTCATTGCAAGTATCATCAAGGTAGGGGTCACACTACTGAGAGTTGTTGGAAGCTAAAGGAAGCCATCCAATATTTGATTGATAACAACAAGTTTCTTGTGCCTCCTGCCGGTATAAAGCCAAGTATCAACATTTCTTCACTTTTTGATTCTTTGGCCATTTCTGAGGATCAAACTCCTTCTGATCCATCACTCCTCATTAAGCCCATTGAAGAACTTTCCATGGAAGAGGTTGCTGCCATTGAAGAAGAAGAAGAGGTCTTCTTCGATGCCATGACCGACTTCCCAAGTGAGGTTACTAATGAAAACGTTGCTAACCTCCTAAATAAGGCTACCAAATAAGATATTGCTGGTCTTTATAATGCTCTTCATATAGCCCATGTTGAAGTTCAAAATCTTCTAAGACGAGTAGTAAAGCTTGAAAGCCAATTTGTCCCTAAAAAAGGGTGACCCTTGTCATTCCTCTCTTGGACTGAATACCGTTGAAAGAAAGCCATGTATTTTTAACGTTGTTAATCCATAAGAGAGAAAAGATAGAAAGGCTTACACACCTATATGCATCACTTATGAAAAAACTTTCGACATGCTCCATGCCAGGGGTATGCTCAAACCTCTCAAACCAAAGGGATCCTCTGCATTCGAATCCCTCTATCGAGAATATTTCCAATACCAACAAGCTGGAGGCCACACAATTGAGCACTGTTTCAGGTTCAAAGAGTATGTCAAAAAACTCATAGACGAGAAGAGGCTTTAAATCAATAAGACTATTCCAATATAGAATAACACTACCTCTGACTCCAATGATACCCTCGTCAATGGTGTTTGGGATAGTGATGATGAAGATGTGAACCTCAAGGACATGATCGAATCAACCCTTGCGGCAATCTATCCCTATAATGACGATGATGACCTATGGAATGAAGATTCCCCAATCACAGTACTCACAAGGTCCGGTAGGTTGAAATCACCAGTCACACCTGTGCCTCCACCTGTAACTCAACAACACCTAACATCCATCGTAGAAGACAACGATATAGTCAAGCAACTCAAAAAGACTAAAGTGGAGGTGAATCTATGGAAGCTTCTAGTCTAATCCATCGTAGAAGACCACGAGCATAGAGTTGTAGTAATGGATGCTCTCGCAAAAGTTGGAGTAGATTCTGAAGCCACTCCAGAAGGGTTGGCCAATTTCCTCAAAAGTGACCTCCCTAGCTCGAATAATTTGATCACCTTCTCTGACAAAGACTTACCACCAGAGGGTGACAAACATAACAAGGTCTTACATCTTACTGTGGTGTGAAAAAAGATGAACGAGCTTATGACCCTTGTAGATAATGGTTCAACAATTAATGTATGCCCACTTCGTACTACTAGAAAGCTGGGAATAAAAGATGAGGATCTAACTCCATCTACACTAGGCATAAGGTTATATGACAATTCTCATCGCTAAGCCCTTGGAACCATTACTATGAATATTACCGCAGGGGTTATTGAACATAGCATTACCTTTCAAGTAGTGGATATCAAGCCTTCATTCAATCTATTATTGGGACGCCCGTGGCTCCATGACCTAAAGGCCATTCCTTCCACTCTCCATCAACAAGTGAAGGCTATAGTTGACAACCTAATCATTCACGTAGACCACGATGAGCACGATGAAGATTTATGGGACTTTAATGCCAAAGAGGTCTCTTTTATCGAGGAAGATGAAAAGACCCCTCTTGACTACGACCCTCACTCAAATCTCGTCTTCAATGCTATTATAAAGAGAGATGGACACTCTCGTGGAATGACTCTAGGAAGGAAGGAGAGGGCCCAACGCATAGGACTACCAAGCCTCCCTAGAAGGGATACTTTTGAACATGGATTTGAGCCAACCCTAGAAGACCTTAAGCGAGCCTTGAACAAGTCCAATGCACAATGAAAATCTCGTAGCCAAAAAGATACAATACTAATAGATCCATACCCTCACTTTAAATGGACAATTTACAAAAGAGGGAGAAGATTACCCATGCTATGAATTTTCTGAACCACTTTTCAGGGATGGGATACGCTAGCCTGGGTTCAAGATCTTCTTACACTGCAAATTTCTAGATGGGATTCCCAATCTTACCTACAGGGAACATGCACCCCCGTGCTTCGAGTTCAATGTCATGGGTCTTCTTTTTGGTACGAGGTAAACAAACCTAAGTGTGTCGACGACAATTCCACACTTGTATAAACTATCCTACAAAGTGAGAACTTTAACCATTCCAAGCTCATTACTCCGGTAGAAGGACTACTCTAGGGATGGCGTAAGACCGTGAAAGTGACAACGCCAAGCGGAAAGTAGATAGCCATAACTACGGGTGAAGGCCTCATGTTTGATGAGTCTGAATCGTCTAGGTCCGTGCCTTAGTCTGAGTTCGAGTCTTCTATACACGAGTCTTCTAAGTCTCTTATTGTTGCACCTTCTACCACCATGACTACTTTAGAGTCTACCCCTAGAATAGTCAATAATCAGGTCCCCAAAGACCTTTCTCTTTTCGATGTAATGGTTCAAGAGTTTAATAGTATGAATTCTTTAGCTTACTCTTCGTGTTATTCCCTTACCCATGATAACGAGTATTGCTTTGCTAATAATGAAAATGACAAAGAAATAATAAAAGCAATGGAAGCACTTGAGAATAAAACAGCAATAATCGAAGAAACTAAAATGTTAACCTCTCAAAAGACACCACCATTGAACGAGTTGAATTAACTAACCTACTTGCTGAATTTATTGATGTTTTTGCTTGGTCATATGAAGACATGCCATACATAACTAGAGAAATTGCTCAACATACTATACCACTAATTCCGGGAACCAAACCTGTAAAACAAAAGCTACGCCAAATGAAACTCGACGTAGCACTTAAAATAAAAGATGAAATCAAGAAGCAATTGACTGCAGGTTTTATTAGGGTATCCAAGTATCCAGAATGGGTTGCGAACGTGGTACCAATTCCCAAGAAGGATGGTAAAGTAAGAATGTGTGTCGACTACAGGGATCTCAACAAGGCAAGCCTGAATGAAAATTTCTCTCTACCTCACATCCACATTCTAGTAGACAATATAGCAAATCATGCACTTATCTCGTTCATGGATGGGTATGCAGGTTACAATCATAACGCCATGGGGAACTTACTGCTACACGGTGATGCCATTCGGGTTGAAAAATGCAGGTGCCACATACCAGAGTGTGGCAATTTCCCTACTGCATGACATGATGCATAAAGAAGTTGAGGTGTATGTGGACGATATGATTGTAAAATCTAAGGATCGCCCTGGTCACCCAATACCCTTGAGGAAATTCTTCGAAAGACTCCATAAATACAACATGAGGCTGAATCTAGTCAAGTGTGCATTCGGAGTTACCTCAGGGAAACTTCTAGGCTATATATGTTATTATCTCTAGAGGAATTGATATAGACCCCACCAAGATGGCTATTATGTCCATGCCACCGCCCAAGACCGAGAAACAAATTCGAGGACTCATTGTCCGGTTGAAATACATAAGTAGGTTTATATCCAAACTTACCACAATATGTGAACCAATATTCAAGAAGCTTAAAAAACATACTAGTGATATGGGACGATGAGTGTCAAGTAGCCTTTGATAAGATCAAAGCCTATCTTACAAATCCACCTGTCCTAGCACCAGCATTGCCGAACATTCCCCTTCGCCTCTACCTAACAGTCACCAAAGAAACAATGGGGGTTATGCTTGCACAAGAAGTAGAAGGTAAAGAAAACGCCGTCCACTACTTAAGTAAGAAGATGCTCGAATATGAAGTTCGCTATACACCATTTGAAAAATTGTGCCTCGCACTTGTGTGGGCCACAAAGAAGCTAAGGCTTTACATGCTCGTTCACACAGTTCATGTGGTGTCTCAAATGGATCCTCTCAAGTATCTATTCGAAAAATCCACACTTAATGGAAGGATATCAAGATGGATAGTTACTTTAGCCCAATTTGATCTGAAATTTGTGCCCCAAAATTCCATCAAGGGATCTGCAGTTTCAAACTTCTTGGCTGACTTCCCACTTGAAGACTCAACACCAGTACAAGAAAACGAGTTCCCATACGAAGAGTTGTTTGTCACTGAAGATGATACTTGGATACTACACTTCGACGGTGCATCAAATCAAAGAGGATGTGGCATAGGAGTCTTACTAGTGTCACCTAATGAAGAGCACATCCCGATCTCAATAAAACTTGACTTCAATGTAACCAACAATGCTGCAGAATACGAAGCTTGTGTGGTATGTCTCGAAACAGCATTAGCACTTGGAGGAAAAAAGCTTCGAATATTTGGAGACTCATCCCTTATCATCAATATTATTTCTAAGAGATGGAAGGTGGGGAGTGAAAGCCTAGCTCCATACCAAACTTACTTGGAAACTCTCACCGACCAACTTGACAAGGTAGAATATACATATCTACTAAGAGAAGAGAATCAATTCGCTGATGCTTTAGCAAGACTAGCCTTGATGGTTAGAATTCCTAAGGAAATTGAGCAAATGCCCCTAACCATAGAGAAAAGGCATAAACCTACTTATGTTTAAGCTTTTGATGATGAGGAGGAGGTTCAAGAGGACAAAGAAGAACCATGGTACACAGACGTTCTCAACTATGTCACTGAAGGGGAATATCCACCTAATACTGACAAAAGAGGAAAACGTGCCTTGAGACTCTTAGCCTCACTGTGCGTACTTATCAACAATGAGCTCCATAAAAGAGTGCCTAAAGGAAGAGCCCTCCTGTGTGTAGACAAAAAGGAGGCACGAAGGGTAATGAGAATAATCCACGAAGGAGCATGTGGAACACACATGAATGGCAAAATGCTAATCCAAAAAATCATGCTTCAGGGTTATTATTGGACTACCATGAAAAGGGATTGTCATCAATATATAAAAAGATGTACAAAGTGCAAAGTATATGCCAACTTGCAACATGTTCCACCTTACCTCCTTTACACTTATACATCTCCATAGCCTTTCTCGACTTGGAAGATAGATATCATTGGAAAAATATCTCCACCTAGATTAGGGGGCCATGAATTCATCCTTGTCACCATTGATTATTTAACCAAGTGGGTTGAAGCAGCGTCATATGCAAAACTCACCACAAAACATTTGGCACTCTTTATAGAAAGAAATACCATATGCCGATATGGAGTCCCATATAAAATGATAAGTGACAATGGTACTTACTTTCAAGATGAGTGTGAAGATCTTCTTATAAAGTATGGAATTCAACATCATCTCTCTTCTCCATATAGACCTCAAGCAAATTGTGTTGTGGAGGCAGCTAACAAAAACCTGAAAACGATCATCAAATAGAGAACTACAAAGATTGGCCTGCCAAACTCCATTTTTCTCTTTGGGGTTACTGCACGTCAATCTGCTCATCCACATGAACTACGTCGTTCTCTCTGGTTTATGGAGTTGACGTCGTACAACCTGTAGAATTAGAGATACCTTCCTTGCGCATACTCTGGAAGTAAACTCAACGAGGTTGAATGGATAAGAGCACGATATGAAGAGCTAATTCTGCTCGATGAAAAATGATTAGAAGCATTACATCATATCCAGTGCTATCAAAACCGTATGGCTAGACACTTCAACAAAAAGGTCAAGGCGAGAATCAACAAGGAAGGAGACTTGGTGTTGAAAGCCCTTAGAAAGAATGTACTGGACCCAAGAGGGAAGTTCAGGCCTAACAAGTCTAGACCATACATTGTGAAAACCATCATGTCTGGAGGTGCAACCAAATGACAGATATGGACGGCAATGAATTCTCGAATATGACCAACCTTGACAAGATAACGAAATTCTACCCATAATCCAACATAATCCAACAGGTTCCGTACCCAAGAGAGATACATTTAACCTGATTCCTTAATACTAAGGATACGTAAGCAACCCTTCTGTAGAGTGCGGCCACTTTAAAACTCTAAAAACCTGTCTTGGGAAGCACATTCTCAATGAAGAAGACTAGAAAAAGATAGAGACAAGAATGCAAGCTCCATCGCAAAACAACATGCCTTTCGCGCCACGTCAAAACTGACACGCTGACATGGCCTTGACGCCTCGCGATAAACGTGAAAAGTTGCGTCAGTTTCTGAGCTTTGTGCCGATTAATTGCAAACACTTAACAGCCTATATGCCTTTGATTTAGTTTGAAATTTTTCCGACTTAAGTACTTGGATAATTTTTGAACAAATTACATGATTACAAATGATTAACAATTACATGAATGTGTAAGCTAATTTTTGAGAAATTTCAAAGTTAAGAATAAGTAATTGAACTCACATTTGGGATTCCACAAAAAGAGTAATTCAATTTAAATTGATCAAAATATTTTAAAGCAATCGTAACTCGGTGGCAATCTGTATGGACCCTTGTGGTCTTAGCTGCAACTTCCAGTTCAAGAGGATGTAGCGAACAATGAGAGTCATGGATGATGTGACATATCCTTCAAGTTCTTCCATTGCTCCCAACTTTTGTACTTGGGAAAATTATTTCAAATAAAATTATATTAACAATGAATTTAATTTTATTAAAGGCTAAAATTGCATTGATAATTAATTTAAATTAAAAACTACATTATTGATGGCATTACGCCTTATTGAAAATAAAATTAAACTTCAACTAAATTGTCTAATGAAATTGAAAGCAAAGCAATGCTTTAAATCTACTCTTCTTTTTCCTTACGAGCCCTTTTCCAGTTCTTATCCTTGTCTTCTTCATCTGATAATTCTTTTACTAGTAACGAGCCCTTAGATAAGCAAACTAAAACTTTTGAAGAAGAAGTTTCCCCTTTTGCAAAGATCCCTACCTTTTTCTCCTTCCAACCCTTCTTTTCCTTCTCTATAGGAATCGCTTTCCTTTTTCCTTTTCCTTCCATAGCACTTTTCTGTTAAGGCATGATAGGAGTCTTGAAAACAATTCTCGAGCCCAGACGATCTTTAGGTAGAGTCTTCTTGTCCCCAAGGCGATCTTTTATGCTTTTCTCTACACCCTTAGGATCCAATTTACGAGCTTTATTCTTATCTTTTTGGTTTCGGGCAAGTAACCATTGCTTGTATTCCTGAGACAAGGGATGAAGAAATCTATCAGACACAACAGTTCACAAAGGTCTTAAATACCAATAATCATCGAACCTCCCAACATTCTTTGAAAGGGACTACTCATGAGGGTGATGATTATGACCAGTAGGATTGGTTTGCTCAAGTCCAAATTGTCTCATAACTTTAGAAGGGAAGTAAAAGGTCAACTTTGAAAAGCTTGGAATGCGATAGAAAGGTTGATTGTTGACTCCATTCATCTTCTCAATCTTCCACCAAGGAATGATCCACTTGATGGAGAAATCACGAGTTTGGAAGATTTTACTCCACTCCTGATGACCCATCTTTATGAAAAAGCGTTTTTTCCTTCTCACAAAGTAATTTGGAGTATATTTTTCAACATCGTCAAGAGGGGTGATTAATCACATTCGCTCCATTAACTAACTCCTCAAGCATTTGAAATTAAGTATTGTTACAATACAAATTTAAATATTTTTTAATTTCTATAATTAAAAATACTTATTTTCTACCTATATTAATAAAGGAGATCCTCGAAGTGGTGCTTTGGGATCCTTCTTGAATTCATCTAAGCTCATCATTGTCTCTCCAACAATTGCAGGCATTAGATTCCTTCCAGCGTCAACTTGTTCCATAACTGATGCTAGTATGGGTTGACCCATGAGGTTACTACAATTGATGAATAAAAGTTGACTAAACATGCAAAATAAGAAGGCTCTTCTTCTATAAATATGAGAAGAACTAGACTTAGGACGATTAAAGAAAAAAGATGTAAATTTTCTTAAATCTATTTCTTTTCCATGAACCATGAAATGTAAGTCGGCTTCCCTAAGATTATAGAAGCGCTCAAAATCCTTGCAATATTACTCACATATTATAGAAATTGCAGCTAGATGCCTAGTGGGATAGCTAAATATAGCTCCAAATTCCTCTAGTAGAGGGTTAATTTCATCGGTTCCTAGCCTGAAACAGTGAGTGTTAGGATCACAATATTATTGCAGCTTGAATAAAGTCCTTATTAAATTCTACACTTCTAAGACTCAATAGGCCAATCATGTTCAAATATTCAAGCTCTTTTCGTTCACCATTAGTCAATAACTGATACCATTCATGAGTAATCTCAACGAAACTCTTAGCCGTGATTGCTAGAATTTAATTGCCAAAGCTAAAGGTTATGAGAATTTAGAACTTGGATGCCGAATTATGCTGAATCTGACGAATTCCGGGGCTATTTATAATATTAAAAAAAACGACATAGAAGCCAACTTCCAGTCGGAGCTTGACTTTTAAGAACCAGCACACCGCGACAGAGACCACGCGTCGCGATAGCACTATCGCGCCGTGATGGAACCTGATGATCAGCGACAACTTTGCTACGCCACACTCTTAATTTGATTTCTAATAGAACTCGTACTATTTCAATTTCATCTAAATTAACTCTCTTACCGTTTTCCATCTTATCTCAAATTCTCATCATCTCCTACGATAATTCAAACTCCTTATCCTTCAGTGATTTGGAATTCTTTTTAGGAATCTCAAATTAATTATTACACTCATTTATTTTTCTTTAATTTTCTTTTTTCATTTTTCTTTTTTTGTGGAGAAATTCGGATACCCTCCAATTATAATAAAAGTGACAGAATTTTTTTGCAAAATTTGTCACAAAATCACATACTTGCACAAGACAAACTCACAACACACACTCATACACACATAAAGCAAATTTTAAAATTTATAAATCTAATAAATAGAGAGTCGATAGAGTCAATGAATATGTACATAAGAGCCTGAATATATAAATACATAAGAGTCAATAAAATAACAAACATAAGTAAAGTCCTATAGTAAAAAAGAAAAGATGCAAGTATAACTAGGACTCTAGCGGACGAGGCTCCCGAGATATGCCCATCTATCCCTCAAAATCTGCAGTCCGGGGAGTCATCTCCTTGTTGGAGTTAGCACCACCCATCATAGGGATCACGAGCATAGGACCGCTTTACTGAGTGAACTATGGGCCAACCCGAACGCCATACTAATAGAAGATCTCGCAAGCGAACGGAGGAGGAGGTACAAGCTGCTGAGAGGAAGAGCCAACCTCAAATGTCCCACCAGCAAACTGAGGTGGAGGCCTGAAAGGCTAAGATGACGTACCATCCCCAAACGGATCAGGAACGACGTGCGGGTGAACCACTGAAGGACTGAGTCCAAGCTTATACACATCGATCGGGATGGACTCACGGCCCGAGCTGATCTCACCAACGCCCGTAGCCTGGCTAGTGGTCTTCGGCTGATCAAAAACCTCGGAAGATGTCAGACGGCGTCTTGCTTCCCTCAAGCCGTCATGCCGTGGCCGAGCGCATGGCCGAGAAGCTTGCTGAAACAAAAACTAAGAAATGGAAGTCAGTCAAAGGCAAACATACAGACAAAAGCAAAATAAATATGCATAAGTAAAGACATACTTTCTGAAAACCATCCGTACTCCAGCAGGACATCCAGGTGTTCCACCTCGCTAGTTGATACCGACAGGTGTTGACAAAAATGCAAAACAGGGCATGATTTTAATCCGCATAAAAAATACACAAATGCATGCCAAAATGATTTTTTGCAAGTCTACAACAATTATTGCGACATTTCAAGAGCAAAGAAGCAAGAAAAATCATGAAGAACAAGCTACATTGTACTCTAAGAGCACTAAACAATGGCAAATTGCTCATTTCTTCACCAAATCAAGCAATCATAGTCTCAAATTTCTCACAAAATAACATACATTCATATACAAGACAATTCATAATAAGAATTTCAACAAAAATCAAGTAAACAACAAAACCCCAATTTTGTTTTTGGGGGTTTTCCGTACAAAAATCACCAAATTCCAGCCAAATATGAAATTAATTCAAGAAAACTTACATGGATCGGTGTAAGGAATTGAAAATGTGAAGATTAGCAACAAGTTTGAAGCAATTTGGTGCGAAAACAAGTGATGTGAAGTGGCAAAATGCGAGCTGGAACAGAACGAAAAAATGGAACTGGAATTGAAAAAGAGGAATAAGAAAGGTTAAAAAATCGAAAATCTGATTCCAGCGCGGTGCGACAGAACTATCGTGGTGCGATACGACCTGACGCATCACGATATTTCTGTTGCCACGCGATACAACCTGACGTGGCCACGTCAGCTTTTGAGTCCTATAGAACGGTGATTATCTACTTGAGCCTTGTGATGAGCAATTGATTTTTTCCTAAGGCCGTAATAAGAGATTGACGAGCGGTTTATCAAAATTTTGTTTAAATTAGTGATCGGCTCGATTATGATCGCATTTGATTGATAATCGGCCCGATTGCGGTCACAGTTGATTGAAAGATTGGTCTGATGCTAGTTACATCCCTGATTAGGATACATTTGATTGATGATTCGCCAGATTACGATCATATTTTATCGATGGTCGTCCCGTTTACAATCATATTTGATTAGAGTGCACTTGATAAAGAGATCGCTCTGATGTCAATCGCATTTGACACATTTGAGAAGAGATCAGCCTGATTACGATCACATTGAGAAGTAATTGGCCTGGTTAAGATCACATTGAGAAGTGATCGGCCCGATTACAATCGCATCGAGCGGTGATCAACCCGATTACGATCACATTAAGAAGTGATCGGCCCGATTAAGATCACAGTGAGAAGTGATCGACCCAATTACGATCGCATTGAGAATTTATCGGCCCGATTATGATCACAATTTCCAAAGATGGTTCTATAGGACCCTCAAGGCGAGATATGACCATTAGATAAAAATTTCTACGGAAATCAATTTGAGCTCGGTTATATCTTGAAGAGTAAGATGTTACGATAGGTTTTCCAAGGCGTGAGGAACTATCACTTCCGAGGCTTGAAGACGAGAAGATTTGAGAAGATGGCTTGAGGCGTAGCAATCTACGACAATGCTCCTTGAGAATGTGGAGGTTGTCACCCGATTTGAGAAGATGGCTCGAGGCGAAGCGGTCTTTGACAGCGCTCCCTAAGAATGTGGACGTTGTCAAATAAGATAACTTTGATCCAACAAATGTCACCCTGAGACGTGTGCTCGGCAAACCTAGATACGCGTTTCTTTCCCCTTAACTCCTTTATTTGTAGAACTGACGCTTTCTGCAGGTATCGGCGTTAAAAAGGATGATTTAGGATCGCAGAACGTTTTGAATCATTCTGCGTCCCTATCGACTTACTTTGAGTTTTGCTTCAAAACTTACATTTCTTCAAACTCGGTCAAAGTGGGGGCTACTATAGACACCTGATTGTGTCTCCCCAAAAACCAAACCCAGTGATGAGTACCTTTCACGTCTTTGATTGATGAGTTCGGTAGTTTGTTGAAGAGTCACGTGAAGTTTCTTTAAGCCTGATTATTTTTGTCAATAATCTCAGTCCAACTTGTCATTAAAATATTTTGATCCAAAATCATTCAATTCGTGTCATTAAAATCATTCATTTCGTGTCCAAACCATAAAAACGTCCAAACCTGATTATTTTTGTCAATAATCTCAGTCCAACTTGTTTTGTTGGATAGAGCTTGAAAAGAGCTTTCCAACGACATATTATAAGCCCAAATCCAACTTAAAGCGAATAAGTTATGGCCAAAATACTAAACCGAGCCCAAACCAAGCCTAAATCCACCTTAGCCACGACCCAATGACTATATGGGGTCCAAATATCTTATTTAGGCCCAATATTATCATATTCCAAAATCAGTTAGTGTAGACATCTGATTGTATGCCTCCCCAAAAACCAAACCTAGTGATGAGTATGTTGGGTTTTGCGGTGTCTAACACCACACGAAAACAAAACCCGCCCAAAGATCCTTGCATAAATTAAAGCAACTAAATATGCATACAATTAATAAAACAATAAACACATAATAATAGAGAGAGAGAGAGGGAGAGAGAAAAAGAGGAAAAGACGATCATACACTTGATGCGTGTTTTACACTTAGCACGAGCACGAACTCACGAACGGAGAAAGATCCTCAAACACGACCCCTCCAACGTAGTCCACCCATGCGCCCAAACTTGGCTAATATTACTGGCTAGGGTAATATAAACACTACTAATAAGAGGATCTCTTTATAAGGTTTTTTCAATGGAGATGCCCCGAATAGAGTTCAACTCTTGCAACCATTCCCAAGGGAGGTCTTGAGTATTAATAGGAGAAGTATCTCCATCCCCTTGATTTCTAATCAATGTGGGACTTTGCAAAGTTGAAAAATAAATGCTTTTAATTTAATTCTAAAATTTTGTTCAAAATATAAAAAAAAATTTAATTCTAAATTAAAAAATGCAAATAACAAACAATCAAACCACAAATGGCAATGACATAGGAATGGTTAGGTGAGGACCATAAGGAGAGCAACATGGCCTCCTTGTTCCCCAAGCCACCAAAGCAACCAATCACAACAAGGCAAGATCGGTCAACATCCTTGGGCAACACAGAATAGCCGGTCAAGGCTTTATGGCTTTGGCTAGGATAGACAGCACGCACCGCAAGCTTGCTGGGCTGCTATGCGCTGCTGGCTAACTTGCCGCAAGACCGCTGGCCTTGCCCGCTAGCACCAGCAAACCTCGCTTGCTAGCGGGCTGTTGCGTGATGCTAGCAGGCCATGCGAGCATGTGCTAGCAGTTGCTATCTTGCGATAGCACTAGGGTGCCTAGCACGCTGCGCCTTGCTTGGCTGCTAGTGGCTTAGAGCTTACGCCACACACTCGGCCAGCAAGCCTAGCTTGTGCGTGTGTGCATCAAGCTTGGCTTGTGGCAAGTGCTTGCCTTGCAGTGGTCATTGCTAGCCTAGCCCTCATATGGCTTGGCCGATACGAGGCTAAGGATATGCATTTATTGTTGTTTGATTTATTTGTACGTCTCATTAATTCCTATAATTTAACTAAACGTTCGACGCTCTAAGGTCGGAATCCGATTTCAAAGTACGTATCTTCTTGTTTGACGTATTATAGCCTTCGTCTTAATTCGTCGCCTTAGTTTAGTTGCACGCTTGGGTGTGACCCATTGGGTTTAGTTAAAGGAAAGCTTTGAGATTAGTATAATTAATCTCACTGATCGGAGATGGCCTTTAGCCCGACTTTCTAATCACTTGACTTTACTGAATAATTAACTACGTAATTGATTCTAAACCCTCCCGTTGTCATTTGTGTATATCTCTATGAACGTTATAAGAACGTTATAGCAAAATCGCTTGATCTAATCTAGATTCTAATCTAGAATTGGAATCTCGTGTTCCTCTTCTATGTTCCTTGTTCCTATATTTCTTATCATACATCATCTCATAACTTTAAGAACCACTAGTTTAAGTGTTTTGACTTTTATACTTTGTTAGGCATAATTAAACATCTAATGCGCCATAAAACAAAGTTTTATCTTTTCCTTTAATTCATACTTGAATTACCACATCAATGAGTCCTACTATAAAGCGAAAAAATATGTTGGTTTTCAACTATTGACAATTTGAGTTTTCAACTCAATACTTCATGTTTATCAAAACTACCTAGTATTTTAATACATGATGTCCAACTGTCCTTTTGGACTAAGTCATAAAAGTCATTTATGAGAAGTTGTATTTTAGAAATGCCTCTTCTTTCCTTGAGAACCATTCTCAAAAGATTTCCTTTTACCAATCGTTGGAAACATTATAATTTGATTTAGAACTCTACAAGTATAAGTGAAAAGTATAACCATTTATCAAGATAACATAATAAGCATTGAAATACATGCAAACTAGCAATTTCAATTAACTTATTAATGTTCTATTCACACATTTATAAATTTGTCCCAATTAGGCAAGAATAAAACGATTCCAAGATCCCAAAAATTAATAAGTACCTATCACGTGGTACAGGTACAGGTACAGGCGCACGGTTCCAGTCTCGGAATTGTAACTCTCCCGCAGGACATCAGAAAACCCCGAAACATTTTGGCACCGTCTGTGGGGAGAGTATTTTTGAGATGGCATCAACGTCTGTACCGACTCTAGAAGAGATGCGTCCAGTGGACGACCCTCAAGTCTACTCAAACCAAGACACTGAGAATGAAGTTGACATTGAGGCACACACAGCCTCAGACGGGACCCTAAGGGCCCAATGCACCCGTCACACCGAAAGGAAGGAACGGGTAGATTACCAAGCTGGACCCTGCAATCCAGCCGGCTCACCGCCTGATCAGCAACAGGCAGTTGAAGGATCTGCTCCTGTTACAAGAAACAAACTCATGACCTTCATGAGGAGGTTCAAAGGAGAGATCCAAGAATTAATCAATAAGAAGACGTTTGCTCCCTCCAAGGAGCAGTCGGCTAGAAAACCTTCTCATTCAGGAAGAAGGAAGCCTGTTCAGGGTCGAGAGGCGACCCCCCACCCTAACTCTAGGAAGTGGGAGCCGCCTATGATCGACTTAACAAAATATCGTTTTCCCACACCACGGAAGAGGAAGCCCATTCGGCATAAACAAGCGGATGGGTCAAAGAAAACATACTCAGATGCTTGGCTATTGCTAGAGTAGAAGAAGAATGACCGACTGTCAGAGTCGGCCTCCACTTCAGACTTCCAAGATAGTATGCACAATACCTCTATGAGGTATACTCAATCAAACCATGAGAGTCAGACAGGCGGTACCTCCCGTCGGTCTGGATTTCATAAAGAGCAGGCGGTACCAAACATGCCATACGTACCGCAATAACAATACTTCTTGCAGCCTCCTCTATTTGGAGGACAGGCGGCAAAAGATGTCCAACCATTGGACTGGCAACTACGGTTGCTAAGACTTGGAGAATAGTCGTTCGCCTTCTCCAAGGAAATTACAGAGGCCGCCCAGCCGGCCAAAGTTAAGAATGTCATAGTAGGTGCCTATGATGGCACTACTAACCCTGAAGACCACTTAATGGCATTCACCAACCTAATGTACCTTCAAGGGTTGGATGATCCCACTTTGTGCAAGTGTTTCCCAGCAACTCTCAAAGGAATCGCACAACAATGGTTCGGTAACCTGCCAACTGGTAGTGTGAACAATTTCAGGACGCTTGCTTACTTGTTCACCTCCAACTTTGCTATGAACATTCCTGCAAAGAAGACGACCCTTGATTTAGGGACAATTCAGCACGGTGA